GATACGTCTGACAAGAGGTATGTATATAGGCAAAAAACGTTTAGAGAAGAGGGAGGGGAGAAAATAAAAAATATACAAAAAAAAATACAAAATACAAAAATTATTTTAAAAAATGATTAATATAAGATGATCGATTGTAAATTAACTTACCTAGAGTGGGAAATAAGGCCTTTCGAGGCAATAAAGTTCCTATTGAATTAATCCGAATCACGCCTCTCTCTTTCGAGTTATGGAAATTCCTTAATAATATCCCAAGAAATATAATTATATTTCTCCCCAGTTGAGTTTTAAGTTGATTTTTCCGTTGAGCCGACGAACTCCTTTTCCCGGTTCCGTTTTCAATCGAGATTCAAGGCAAATTTTCGATTCAAATTCATTTTCCTACACCGAAAATTACCCTGCTAGATTATTCATGTCTTTTAATTAGTCAGTTTTATTTTTCCCCGTTACTGCGGAAATTCAAACGGGGAACAAAGAGAAGTTAATCAACGAAGGGCTAAAGCTTGGGCGACTGTTTCATTCAAAATTTGTTCTATCTCAGGTGGAATGATGTTGCGGTATTTGGGGAGCACATTGTAAATCTCTTATTTACGAGTATAATTGCACTGTTGGAATCAGATTCAACTACAAAAACTCTACAGCTTATTCTAGCTGTTTCAATCTTGAAGCAGGTTACATTTTTATGCACGTTAGATTCGGATCGGGGTGCAAATTTTTTTTGGGTGAAATTTCGTCAAAAATGGAGTAGAATGCCGCAGGAGTGGATGTCTTATCTCTGTTCAATACGGAGTTATGATTGCGTTTTTCGAAAATAATCGGAACTTATACCGTTAAATCGCGTTTGAAATTTTTTTCATAGTTTCACGTTTTTCAGGAAAGATTTTTGCAACACGCATAAATGTCATTTATAACAAAGGAAATTTAATATTTATCAGAAATCTGGAAGATTTCAGGTGAATTCAAAATTTTCCCTCTCTTTTTCAAAAACAATCTTCGAAACTGTTGAATCACCAAAATTTCTTCATTTAATAACTTTTCTTAATATATGTATTACTGTGATTGACTTGCTTATCAAAAACTATTAAATTATTATATTATTTTTGTGCTAATAAGAATGATGAAACCTTAATTGTTTTTAAAGCTATCATAACTTTTATCATGACCATTTCATTCTAATTTCGATAAGAATATGTCAGAATAGATTCATTTTAAATCTAGAAAATACTAACACTTGTCAACCTACATCAGCATTTTTCTTATCAAATACCCTACCAGAGGTAAAAAAAATAGTAAACTATTGGGTTGTCCGGAAAATAATGCAGGATTTTAAGTTTTCATTAAAAAAAATCTATATAAAATATTCTGTTTACGTTTACAGGATTACTCATTTGTATGAATGTCAACACTTATTAATCCTCTTCCAAATGATATTGTTTGTTTACCTCTGTAGCATTCCGCTACTTGGAAATAATTCAGTCATCCTTATAATGTCAAAGCGAGAATTTCGTACGATTTTCTTTTACGAGTTTAAACTCGGCCGAAGCGGAGCCCAAACGGCTAGAAACATTAACCAAGTCTGGGGCGAGGGTTGTGTTAATGAGTGCACTGTGCAAAGGTGGTTTAAAAAATTTCGGGAGGGAGATTTCAGCCTTGAAGATGAAGAAGGTCGTGGAAGGCCTTCCTCTCTTAATGATGATGTTCTGCGATCAGTGGTGGAAGAAAACCCCAAAACAACTGTTCGAGAACTTGCAGAGCAACTCAAAGTCAGTAAAACGACCGTCGCTGACCACCTCAAGGCGATTGGAAAAGTGAAAAAACTCGAAAATTGGGTTCCACACTCATTAAACGATCGCCAAAAAAATCAGCGCTTTGATGTTTGTGCATCACTTCTTTGTCGAAACAAAAATGACCCATTTCTGGCCAGAATTGTTACATGTGACGAAAAGTGGATTCTCTACGATAACACTAGACGTTCTGGACAGTGGCTCGACAAAGGAGAAGCTCCAATACATTTTCCAAAGCCCCCAACTCATCAAAAAAAGGTAATGGTTACGGTATGGTGGGCTTCATTTGGTTTAATACACTACAGCTTCTTAAATCCTGGCGAAACCATCAATGCTGAATCATACTGTAACCAAATTAATACCATGCATCAGAAATTGGCAGTAATGAAGCCCTCTTTGGTCAATCGGAAAGGGCCCATTTTGTTGCATGACAACGCTCGACCACATGTGTCACGTGTAACGTCACAAAAATTATTGGAGCTTGGCTATGAAACTTTGCCTCACCCACCCTACTCTCCGGACCTCTCGCCTACTGACTACCATTTTTTTAGACACCTGGACCACTACTTACAACACATAATATTCAAAAATCAAACGGAACTGGAAAATGCATTTATTGACTTTATCAATTCTAAAAATTCTGAATTCTACTCAGACGGAATTAATAAGTTACCAACACGTTGGGAGAAATGTATTGAGAGTATGGGAAATTATTTTGATTAAAGAACATTGCTTTAAAGTAACTAGTTTCTTTTTTTTTGTTTAATACCAAAATCCTGCATTATTTTCCGGACAACCCAATAGTTGCAAATTGGTGTAAAGCTCAAACATCCAAGGTTTGCCCTCAATACCCTTAAACTTACTAAGACTTAAACTTACAAAGAAGAAAAAGCTGGCCCAACCTCTAACCAAAAGTCTCATTAAATGTAAACCCCAAAGCACTTAACTACTTGATACGACGCCTGAAATAAACTACAACGCATTACCGAAAGAAGTAAAAAGCTTGTGATGCTACATACAAATTGTTGTTTGAGTATCCTAGATCCTCATTGTTCTGTACTATTTCTGCCTAAACGGTGTCGTAGATACTCTTAGCTTCTAGTGTTATATTAATTGATAATGAGAAAAGAATGTACACGAGTAAAAGTCGGCTCCGGACCTAGGATCACCAATTGTAATGAAAATTTCTTTGGTGATAATAGGTAAGAAAATATTAGATACGTGTCAGCCTTATTGTTGATAAACCCAAAAAGCGGAAAAATATTTTTAAATATGTATGTTTTTCTCCGTTTGTTGTGCAAATATTTTAAGATTATTATATATTAATCGATTTTTTAAATTTACGATTAGAAAATAATATGTCATAGTATTAAATTAGATTAGATTATTATATTAAATATATAAAAATTTACAAAAAGAAAAAGTCGTTTCCAGTAAAAAAGGTTTAAAAATATTGAATTTGCTTTAAGCACCTTTTAAGATCCCTAAATACGAACTCTCAGTTGTAAAAAATTTACGGTTTTGGGCTGAATTTAGGAAAAAAAATTCCAAGTCGAATTGGTTTTAAACACCCAGTAAAGCCCATAGATACACATTTTTGTAGCCAACAAGAACTAGACATTTATGGGCTGTTTCAGTGGCGGGGGGGGGGGCATTTTCCTCCCGCCGATGTCCCCTGTTCACTTAAAATTTTCATAAAACCTTTGTGCTTTGTCTGAATTCAACAGTATTACGATCTTTCAATTAATTATTCAGAAATCGTGAGATGCGGTCTGGTGTGATGTAGGTTTCAGAAAAACATTTTCTTTATCATGCCAACGTGAATATATNTTTGTTTACTTTATTGAAGGCATCATTTCATTTTTGTTCCTCTTAATATGTCCAATCTCATTTAATAATATGTGATGTGTAGTCATCGTTAGTTGATGATTATTTAGAGATCGTAAGATGCGGTCTAGTGTGACGGAGGTTTAGAAAAACATTTTTTTATCGTATCAACGTTTCGATCTTTAGTGAGATCATCTTCAGAGCTCAAAGTGTTTGTTTTCTGTGTAGATATGTCATGATTGTGTGCCACAAAACACACAGTCAGCCTGATGATGATCTCTATAAAGATGGAAACGTTGGCGATAAAAAAATGTTTTTCTAAACCTCCGTCACACTAGACCGCATCTCACGATCTCCAAATAATAATTTATATTTTAAGTTATTTTGAATTTTGTTTGCTTTATCGTGCCAACTTTTCCATCTTTATTGAGATCATCTTCAGGCTGACTGTGTGTTTTGTGGCATTGGCCCTCTCAACACGACACACAATAATGATACATCTACACAGAAAACAAATACTTTGAGGCCTGAAGATGGTCTCAATAAAGATCGAAACCTTGGCAGGATAAAGAAAGTGATTTTCTAAACCTACATCACACAGACCGTATCTTACGATCTCCTAATAATCATTTAATAATATCCTGATTATTATTTTCCTATTTTAGATTTTTGTTTTAAATTGACAGATATATTAAATCAAACTACAGAAAGATTATTAAATTAGTATACAACAAGGACAGAAATATATTTTTTCTTAATACCTATTTTTCAAGTACTCTCGGACAGGTTTCGAATATTTTTTGACCAAGTAACGCAAAACAATTATAAGTAAAATCGATAACTCCACGTCCGTAGTACCCCAGTCAATTTAAAAATAAATTATAAAACTATTATAATTTATATTTCATAAAATCATGGTTAACTACTTTCACACGAGCAAAATTATTTATAGATCGCACTGTGCTATTATACGTTACAAAACTAGAATTTAATATCTCCTGATATCGAATAGAGTAGACAGGATAGGGGAAAGAATATATATGGTGGGAAGATAAGTTAAATAAGATTTTCTAGACGCTTTTATCCTTTTTTCTCCAGTTTAGGTCAATTCCTTGCAGTGTTATCTTATCTTTATGGTAAAATGCATTAACGTAGAGAAGCGTAATGCAAAAAAGAATGAAACAAATGAAAAAAAGCCTTTCAGTAATTTACTTCCCGTCTTATTTCTTCATAAAATTTCATATTTAATCATGAATGAGTTGTGACTTATTAACAGATCTTGAGTGCATTTTTTAACATAGAGGTAAAGATATATTTGTTTTATTGAATTATTCAAAATAAAATAACTTTAAAACTAATTTAAAGTTGAAATGCTAAAGTAATACTCACATCTTTCTGCTTTTGGCATGACGTGGTGATCGGGGCGCCGAAGGCCCTTGAAAAGGTTCCTGGGTGAGAGAGAAGCGAGGAATGCGCCAACAGCATTCTGCTTTCCCGGTTCTTTCCCTTTCCCTTTTCCTTTCCCTTTCCCCTTTTTATCTTCTTCGACCAAAGAGCTGACGGATGAACAGGTCGAAGAGCTGAGCTCCCTCTTCCTGTCGCAGCCGCAGCTCGCCACCGCGCGACCCCCGCACTGCAACATCTCACGAAACCGGATCCATGCCAAGACACTCTGAAATAAAAAGCGGAAATAACAGTTAGAAACTACGCGGAGTAAACTTACTTTCTAACATTTCTTGTGAAATTTGTTGGTAGTTAATAGGAAAAGTTTGCTGTTCCGAAAGTGTACTGGGACGTTGAACTTCCATTATTTTTCTTCATGTTCAAACTTATACTAGTGCATTAAAACAAGTTAAATACAATAAAAATTAGTTTTATTGAAAAAAAGGTAGATGGCCCTCATATATTTTGAGTTTGGAATCTTCATAATAATTAAATTCACTATTTTTCGTTGTCCGCTTGACCAATTAATATCATAATTAATTAAGGTTTTAAGTTGAGATAAAAAAGTCAGTGTCACCCTTGAGGCGTATCAAGCCGAAGGTCGTGGGTTCGAATCCCACTCGTGACACTGACTTTTTTATCTCAACTTAAAACGTTAATTAATTAAATGATAATTAAAGTTTAAAATATAATAAAATTTTCCAGCTTTCCATTCTATCGATTTCAAAATAATTGGCTTTATCTCATGATTTTAAGCACATCAATTGTAAAAACGTGCATTTTTTCAGACTTAGGTAAAACTATTTTCATTGTTTAGTTATAAATTTAATTTTGATGTAAACTATAAAAAAAGTATGACTTGCATCGCTTTATCTCATGATTTTAAACACATCAATTTTAATAAACGTGCAGTTTTTTTTTTCAGGCTTAGGTAAAACTGTTTTCATTGTTTAGTAATAACTATGATTTTGATGTCAAATATAAAAAAAAATTTTGTATGACTCGTGTAAACCATCTACAATTTTTAATAGAAGTTGTAATTATTAGGATAACACTTTAAATTGCAGAAACGTGTATTCCATCCATTAGAAATTTTATATTAGTTCCTTCGAATTCCTTTTTCTTATCCATTGCAAATTATTCCTTTATTTTCAAACAATTCCCTCAAAAAGTTATTTTATTCTTCATACACCTCTACAATTGTATATTCCATGTATGCAATACGTTGGAAATATTTAGAATATTTCCTAGTACATTAGAATATAGAAAATGCTGGCAAACCATTTCAAAAGCCTAATCATATTGTCCGATTAATTTACTTCCCATTATCTCCGAAGTATTCGAAAAAATTCCCCTTAAAAGACTTGCCAAAATTAAACTCTTCTAATCTAACTTCGCCCAGATCATCACTTTGGATCTCGACGCGATCATTCCACAGTCCATCAAAAGTTTCGCGTTGTAAACGGTTTATCTTCCTCCCTCGAGCACAGAGAATATTCTACGGGAGCATTTCTTGATTTGGCGCAAGCGTTTGACCGCCCGAACAAGTCATGTAAAAAAACCATGTCCTTCCATCCTTTCATATACTCTCTTCATCTTATTTAACAGAGCGGTTCCTTTGGGTCCGACAAGGATCAGATTACTTCGACTACTTTGACAGCGGGAGTACGGCAGGGCAGTGTGCTTGGACCCATCCTATCGTTCAAAGTAATTTTGATAAAAAAGATCGTGTGGGCCTCATAGGCAAAATAATTTGTAGAAATCTGATGGTGTAGGGCAACTGATTGTGACATTCAGTGGCCCTTCACCTTCAGATTTCTTCAAAATCGTTCCATCCTTTCGTTATCTCATATATAGCAGATTGGTATAGACAAAAAAATGAAAATAAATGAAAGCAAGTGCGCCCATGTCACATTTACACTCCGAAAAAAATCTCCTCACACAATATACTACAACCATGTTCCTATCTCCATATCGTTCGTTAACTTGGATTCTATCTAGACTTACGCTTATTGTGGAATAGCCTTGACGACTGAAACAATCTTATAGGTCGAAGAATTAAGCTATCGAAGAAAAACAAAATTACTATGTTCAAAATGTAGTATTAATAACCGATTTGGACATACGTTGTAGAACCATGGAGAACCACTAAACCTTCCGTTAACCAACGTCTCCAATCCTTTCAGTGAGGTCCTCAGATCAATTGAAAATGCTCCGTTTTATGTCTCTCATTCTACCATCCACAGCGACCTTAAACTCCCATTTATCCAAAAATCCCGTAAGCCTCTAAGAGGAAATGGCCCTGGGACCTTCTTTTTGAGGGGTAGACCGTTCAATTTATTTCATTAGTCATAATCCTCTCTTCTTAATATAATAATGATTAGTTCAATATAAATTATTGTAAATATATCTATGCATCGTCAAATTACATATAACCAAAAATTTCAGATCGTAATAAAATATTGAAATTTAAAAAAAATATTTAAAGAACTGAACATTATCTGAAGAATAGTTTTTGTTCTAGTGTAAATAACATGGATAAATGGTGGCTTCCTTTCGCGCAAAGGCGAGTACGGAGCACTTTTAGAATAATAATGAGCCGAACCCATGCCCTTCTGTCGTCGGCAAATTGTCTCTATGAAAGGAAACCCTCAGAGATTCTCACAATTATTTCCCAGAAGACAATAAAACAAAAAGACATAAACGGGGCCGTTGACTCCCGCCATCGGGAAAACAGCATTCAGTTTGTCTGCAGCTGGCAGTACGTGTTGTCTCATCGTAAAATAAAAATTGGACGGAATTATTAATGTCAAAAACAAATTCTGACTAAACTACGTAGAAAAACGATCGCAATACGTACCATAAACTGGAAAAAATGTGACCAAATACATTTTTTATAGGGAATTTAGTAATAATAATGACTAATATATCACTAGTTTATATGTGTAACAAATAAAAGATGCAATTCAATTAATAATATTTTTTTAAAATCTGTAACTAGCATTACTAGACAATTTCAATAGAATGCTGCTTTAGAGTCGAACATTTGTGAAAATTCTTGTTTTTATGTTTTTTAAACTATTAAATTCACTTCTTTAAAATAGCGAGGTAGGGTTTGATTGCAATATACACCGGGAATTTTTGATTTCTAGTTTTGAGATGTCTTTTAATTTAACCATGATTTTAAATCAAATTTGGCCCACTTAAGTGAAAGCCCGTACAGAAATAATGCGAAAATTGGCGTCTGACGCCGGGGCTTAGCAATTAAAATTGAAGTGCTACGTAATTGTAGTTGAGGCAAAGTGGTGTTCTACGTAAACCCAGAAGGCCTGAAAGGTTCACATCAAAGGACCCGGGTTCCAGCAGCAGTACAAGGGAATGAATTAATTTTGAAACCGTGTCGTCGGTAAAACCGCGTTATGTGACGTGTATGCTCCTTCTTTGGGTTCTTTGAAGAACCAGGTCATTAGAACCGCGTTTCATCGCTTTTCAATCTTTTGAACATGGTAAATTGCGTAACGTATTTTCAGAACAAACATACAATCGGTAGTTTTGTTCAAACGTGCAAGCTGACTTTAAACAATTAAAAGACATGAGGCAGAGCTCGTGATTAGTTTTATATTTAAAATTTACGCCGGATTATTACGTAAATTTTCGGAAATACATATTTACATGTACAGTATTTTGCTGGGTGAATGTGATACAACAGAACAATAGAGAGAGAGCTGAAAAAACAGAGATAGATAGAGAGAGAAAATGAGAGAAAGGAAAGAGATAAAATACAGGAAGATTGAGAGTAAGAAATAAAGTAAGAAAGAGAAAAGGGAGAAAGATCGTAAAAAAATTATTTAGTCAAAAATACTGCTTTATAAATGTAATATTATCTATATTCTTCAAAATTATTGATTAATAGTACAGTCCAATGGTACCATATTTATTTAAAGGCATGTGGTATGACTGGGGTTTGAAATGGGTTTATTGATGTAGTTGGTCAGAAAGGTCTATTGGATAGTGAATTTTTAAAAAGAGGGACCTTTCTCTAAAGAATCTTTAAGAAGACAAATTGTAATGTTTTTCTCTTCAATATTATTCCAGCATTTGCTGCATTTTTCATGCAAGTTGCCACATTGAAAAAAAAAAAAACTCAATTTATAAAGTTTTATACAGTTTTTATTGCTAGATGGTTTTGCATTTAACAAACAATACAACTGATGATTTGATCCGTTTAGTAAATTATGCAATCATGAATATTTAAGAGAACAAACCAAAAATAGAGAATTATTAATTGTTTATGTGGTTGATGGATGCCTTTTAATTGTGGCCTGTATGAATTTCATAATTGGTGTATTTTTTTATAAAGGGGTGAGTAAAAAATCTATCGAACTTATAAATAGTTCAACTCCATTAATAATTTCAATAATTATTCTTTTTATCTAAGGGCTTGATTGAGATTAAAAAGTTATTGTCACGAGCGGGATTCGAACCCACGACTTTCGGCTCAACACGCCGCTGCTCTAACCACTTGAACTATCGGTAATAATCACACGTCAATTGCAGAATCACAGCAATATGGTTAATTATTAACTATTAAACTTTATTGAACGACTCTAGCGGAGGATTTGTAATTAAAAAGGAAATTGGTATTAAATTCATAATCAACCCTTTGATATATCCTATTAGTAATATATAATGGTAATATTTTTTACATAAAGAAAATTTCAAGAATATTGAACGCGGCGCAATGGATACAGTTTTGCACGACTCATCTGTACTGCGGGTTCAAGTGTCGTCTATCGCACTTTTCTTGATTATTTCTATTAAAAGGTACGGTTTAATAAACTTTAGTAATTGATTAGTAGTCAATTATTAAAGTCAATACTGGAGAGTATTCGGAAGTTGTGTTTTGTTTAGGAACTACAATGTTTTCATCGATAAATGGATGTTTAGATTTTCTTAACTTTACAAAAACCTGACAATGTTTATTCCTTTTCAGACATGTTTGTTCAAAAAATTAAAAATAAATATATCCATTTTAGAAAAGTAATTAAAAAGGAAATTTGTAATAAATCCATAACCAACCCTTTGATATATTCTATTAGTAATATATAATAATAATATTTTTGGCATAATGAAAATTTTAAGAATATTGAACACGGCGCAACGGATACAGTTTCGCTCGACTCGTTAGTACCGCGGGTTCAAGTGACTCTTTCGCATCATTCACGATTA